CTTTTCCAACCTAAACAATTCTATGATTCTATGATAAGGGAGTAGCCAGGATAACACCAAGACTAACTTGACATGTACACAGCTGAAGCTTCCCCTTTCCCTCCCCAGACTGTAGCAAACCCCTCCACATCTCCCCACTGATCTTATGCAAGGTTAGAAGGACTCGGATGAGGCTTGCTGAGGGAAATAGGCACATGCACCTGACTCTGTGGGATTTGTGTGCTTACTTTAAGGGTTTGTAGGATCCTTAAGACTAGCCTGGACCTGGCAAAGAGAATGATGTAAGATGGACTCCGATGTTCTTCAGGATGGCCACCATCATCTTTGCTTGGTTTGCATGATGCCTAATTGCAGTGTGGTCCCACTGTATGGTAGGAGCTTCTTGGTGCCACTGCAGCTCCAGTGATGACCATGAACAAAAAAACATTTTCACAATTCTCTGGTATTTTAGGAATTTTGGAGCCATTGTTCACTGACTGTGCAGCTGAAGTGTGGGAGGAAAGCAGAGCAAGATGAGTGAAATGCGCAGTGGTTGTGGGAGGCCCAAGCAAGTGTGCTAAAGCAGGGGCTTGAGTGGATGAGCTGCAATCCATAAAATACATGGAGCGAGTTTGACTTAGTCTGTTCTACCAAGTCAGCACTATGACTGTTTTAGTCCAGTTACAACATCCTTGCAAGCTAGGTTTGCAGTACAGTCTGACCCAGGGTCTTGGTCAAAAGCAAACCCTGAAGTTACAGCTAAACCCAGCATTGCTCTGTTGTAGGAGAGCAGTTAACAGCAAAGAAACCAGCCTCCATTTGCTTGCTGAACTTCCATTATTTATTGTTTTAATAGACAGGAATAAATATTCAACAAATAAGCTTCCTGTCCTTAAGTGATTGTGTTCTTCCGATTATAAATAAACTTAAAATCTGAATTCTTGATTCTTTTTTAATTTAAACCAGGCTAAGCCCCATGGGATTGATATCTTTTGCTTGCATGAACTAGAAAGCGTTCATACCCTGATTCTCATCTGGAGGATCATACGATGACTTGGGGTGGAGGTATTTTCCTGAAATAGCTTGGAGTGGCTCTAGGGTTTAGAATGTGCCCCCTTTCTCCCTTCTGTGTGCCCTCCCCTAACTACAGGTGTCTCAGCTTCAAGTAGGGCGGAGGATGCTGTGGGAAATGCCTCGATGGAGGACAAAATAGGCAATTTATAGCAGTTGATGGGGGCTTAGCACAGCCATTCAGTGTCCTCCCCTTAGGGATGTGTTTCACACCATCTTTGCTATCTCTCCATGGGACCTTTTGGGAGTATTTATACTCCCAGAAGAATATAAAGGGATCGTAAATTCTCGGTGGAGCTTGCAGAACTGTGACTGCACAGGCCACGTCCTACCATGGGAGCGTGCTTTCCCATCTTCTGGCCAGGAAGAAAACGAGCAGCCCTTTGGCTTAAGGGAGTTTGCTGTGGGATCTGCCATGACCACATGAGCAGCCAGGTGTTGGATGTGCAAAGGCCTGGTCCCAGGGAAACGCATGCTGGAAAGGAGCAGCTGGGATGTGACTTGGCGCTCTCGCCCTGTAATGTGAATGCTTGAGGATCCCAGGCGGACATGAGCTTGTGGCTCCTTTGGGAGCGTTTCCATGTGATTACTGTCAGAGACATGATCTCTCCATCCTGTTCCAGTTTGTGCAGCTACACTACTCAACCCTGAGGAAAAAACATTATTCAGATGCTGCTTTCAGGGAGGATGGCGGAAGCCATAGAGGAAGCAGGCGGGTTTCTCCCAGCCCGTTGTTTGAGACTGAGTGCTATTGCAGTGCTTTAACAGAACCTAGCATCTGTGCAAAGCTCATCCTTGTGTTTTCACAAGCTCATAACCTCTGTGTCAGGAAACAGTAAGACAGCAAGCTGCCTCTCTTTGCGCTGCAGTCTTGCTGCTTGCTGGCTATAGCACCGTAGGGGGAGGGAGGTCTGATGCTGATCCTGGTTTATGTTGAGCATCCCTGTCTTCGCTGCCACCTCTGTGCTCAGCTTGGCCATACAGAGGGCAGTTCTGAGGGCCTGTGCTAACTGCAGATTGCAAATTGTAGGCAAGTGGCTTCCTAGGCCTTGGCTATGATTATCCGTGCTGTAGAGCAGTGAGTGAGGTGTTCCTTCTCTCTGCTAGCAGCATGTTAGCGAGGGCTCCTCTCCGTGTCTTAGCAGAGCCCCCAGTCCTGGCACAAGTGATTCCACCGTAGGGTGAGGCAGCGGTGTACACGTGCTCACAGCCGGGCTGTGCAGCTTAAATGGTGGGCTGGCAGGACGGTACAGCAAGCAGAGCAAAATCCTGGTGCTTCTAGAGATAGGACCCTTGCGGTTAGCTTGCCTTGGGCCGTTCATCTTGAGATGGCCTGTCTTGTCTTTTCCAGTGGATGAACTGAACAGAGAGTTCAGTCCTGTATCTGATGGGAAAGCTGCTGTGATTCCTGTGAGGCCGGAGGAGATGAGCGAGAGGGGCGCGGTGTGCCAGCATGCCTGCGTTAAGGGGGTGCTCTGCTGCGTGCCTTAGCAAGGGCTCGCACACCTGTGGAGCTGCCCTGAGTTCAGCCAGAAGCCAGATGCACCTGTAAGAAATAGGTTCTGCTTCTGTTTGACTCATTTACCAGCTGGCAAAAGGCAAAGGACCTAAATCTTGTGTTAACAGGCCTTCTCTGTGCTCTCGTTTTCACAGGGCAGCCACTGACCACAATGTCGATAACACCACAGCAATCCTTAGAGAGTGGCTGAAGAATGTGCAGAACCTCTACCACGATGTGGAGTGGAGGCCGATGGAAGACCCCCAGTGAGTACTGCACTGAAGGGCTGACTGAAGCTGTTGGGTGTTTATGTCAAATTTTCTAGGTTTTCTGTTTTCAAACCAGGAGATGTACCACACGTCCAAGCATTAAAATGTGAATTTTTTTTGTGGGGTCTGTCCCATTAAAATTGTGTTCTTACAGAGCCCATAAAAAGGTCTCTGACTTCAGTGAAGCAGCTCATGCAGAACTCTGGAGAAGAAAGTGTTTTTTCCAGTTACTTAGCATCTGCAGCTGTTCTCTTTGCATGGTAAACAAATCACATCAAAAGCTACAAGGAATAAAAACTGTCATTCTTTATTTGCAAGGAAGCAGAGAAATCATAGCCCATTCCCATAGTGTCTCTGAAAGGTCTGTCTGGGACATCAAATACTCAGTAAGTTCTGAGCCAGGGAACTAGATTTAATTCAGTGTATTATGTCTTTGTATGACTTGCAGGATCACTGCTTTGAAATATGATGTTAGGTGTGTTGGGGTTTTCTTGCTTTTTTTTTTTTCTTGTCTTTTTCTTGTCTTTTTCTTGTCTTTTTCTTGTCTTTTTCTTGTCTTTTTCTTGTCTTTTTCTTGTCTTTTTCTTGTCTTTTTCTTGTCTTTTTCTTGTCTTTTTTCTTGTCTTTTTTCTTGTCTTTTTTCTTGTCTTTTTCTTGTCTTTTTCTTGTCTTTTTCAAGGTCAACTGTTCCTTTTTTGTTCTGTTTTCTATTTCTTCCATCAGGGAAAAGCACATCAGTTTCCCCTTCCTTTAGGCTTGCTTTTATTTTCAAGGTCCTCAGTGCAGTGGTGGGGCATTTGTGGTACAAACCCACAGGGAATGCTTGTTTTATTGACATTTTTAATCCTTTCATTGGAATTGAGTTTTCTTAATCCTGTCAAGCTTGGCTTTTCTAAGTTCTGTAAAAAGTTTTTGAAATTCTTAGCTCCTTCGCTGGCTTATGCTGGCACTATTTCAAAGTCCTGAATTTTTATTCCACATAGGGATCTGTCCCTGAGTTTCCTTCCATCTTTGTTACAAAGTGTTTGCTTTTTGGACCTGATCCTGAAAACAGAGACATGTGCATAACTTTGCTCACATGATTGGGCTCATGGGGTTGGGTGTTGGGTGTTTGTAGATTTAAGAGCTGTTATTGGGATGTGTTAACAGTTACTAATAATGCCCAGCCCCTCAGGGAATCCAAATTGCCTTCATCTTTACATCCTCAGCTCTGTTGATTCTACTGGGCTTAAGGAAGCTGCATTTATAGTTTTAAACTTAAAGCCTTGCGGAGGACAGATGACTTTTTACCAGAGGGTCGGATGAGGTAAATTAGCTTCAGTTCATTTCAGTGGGGTAAACTCTGGTTACATCAGGTGAGGGCCTGCCTCTGCAGAAGAAACTCCTAGTTTTGATAGTGCTATTTTGCTTGTGGCCTCTTGGTTGGCAGGAAGGGCTGCAGTGCTGCTTGTTCTCCAGTGCCCTGTGTACACATGCCAGCATGAAATTTGGAATCGTTCTCCCTCAAAACCTCGCCTGTGTTGCCTGAGGTGACTCTAACACTGTTTTTCTTTTGGAAAGAAGGCAGCAAAGGAACTCTTTTTCTTTTCCCTTCCCCCCCGCCCCCGCAATAATAGGGCCCAGACATGGCTTGCAGTCGCTTTCTTTTTTCTTTGCTAGGTCTTACCCAGAGGAAATTGGGCCAAAACATTGGCCAAGCTCCCGATTCACTCATGTGATGAAACTCCGACAGGCTGCCCTGCGCGCTGCACGAGAGAAGTGGTCGGACTACATCCTGGTAAATACAAGGTTTGATTTATTAACTGTCCTCAGGCAAAAGCTTTTCAGGTAGTCACTCTGATACTTGAGGCTGCCGAAAAGTTCCCTCTCCATCGAAACACAAAGCTCTCTGTAGTGAGATGCTGTGTGCCGTTTCTTGGTCTGATGAGCTTTGCAGCTAGGGGGTAGGTCCCTGGGTAAGCCCGAGGCTTTCTCCACAGGGGTCAGGATTGAGTATAGTCCTGGTGGTGGGTAGGTACCTGCAAGGGTCCCCCACATTGAAACCCCACCTGTTATTGATGAAATGTAAGGGAAATAGTTCAGCAGAACAGTTGTGGAAAGATGTGTGCCTTTGGTCACTACAGCGGCAGTTAATGGTAGTGTTCCCACAGCCTCTGAACAAGGCGAGGATGTGAGGCCAGTTTTTAAGAGTTCTTCTTGATCCTCTTCAAAGAATAAACCTGCTCTGAATTTTCAGCAATGTTACTTTCCCTCACAGCTCCCTTACCCCTGTACTGGAGTAACGTTCTGTGGAGTCAGAGGGAAGCTCCGCATCTTTTCCCATCTCATAGCTTTGTCCTAGGGGCAGCCACTCCTGGGTTTACCTATAACAGTGATGTGCCCTGCGGTATCAAAACTACCAGCTCAGTGCTTTTTGGTTTTTTTGCCAACCTCATGCCTCTGACTGCCTTGTTCCCAAGAAAGTGTCAGGGGAAGCAAATAATTTCATCTAATAACAAATTTCTTTTTCTCTTTCCCTCTTCCTTCTCTAGTTTATTGATGCAGATAATTTACTGACCAACCCACAAACCCTGAACCTGATGATAGCAGAAAACAAGACATTGGTGGCACCAATGCTGGAGTCTCGCTCCCTCTATTCTAACTTCTGGTGTGGCATCACCCCTCAGGCAAGTGACTGCGTGAACGGTGCCGGGTGACTGTGCAAGCTGTGTTTTCAAAGGCCTCCTGCCTTGTGTCTGTGAAGCAGTGGGCATTGTTTCTGTTCTATGGGCTTTCCTGTTCGCCATTGTAGTGTCGTTTTTCTGAAAAGAAGCTGCTGTAGCTCTGAGGCATGTAGAGGTGATGTTGGCATGTAGTGAGGATAGTGGTGTCATGCAGTCATCTCAGCTTCCTCCTCTCTCAGCTGTGGCATCCCAAATCTTGGGTGGGTATCTTTGGGAAAGGACTGTACATTTATAGGGAATCTGGGAATAAAGGCAGAGAGGACATTGCAGTCTATAAATGTTTTTCAGGCTTTGTTTTCTAACCAAGCTCTAGGTATGAGCAAAAGTAATACATGTCTTGCATTGGGTGTGCAGGCGCACGACTGAAACTTGCCTCCTTATCTGAGATTCCTCACTTGAAAAAGCTTAATCTGGAGGAAGCTGAGCTTGCTTAGCCAAAAGTCCTTGGAAGTGATACAGTCCCACTAACTACATAAAAAATACTGATATACACACAGTCACACGAGAATTTATTTGAGGTGGTTCCATATGTTTGTGTAATGGCCTTAAAATTGTTGGTACATTATTTTAGATGAGCTTTCCTGTATAGTGATGCTAATCTTGACAGGAATTTGCTTTTCTTTGTACAGCTCTCCATTGTATATAGGTTATTTTTCACACAGATGAATAAGATTTATGTAGTGGGGCAACACCCTTTGCCTTGAAGGGAGTGTGTGTACTCAAGTATGTATGTAAAGGGTACTGGTGTAAAGGACAGAAGCGCTGAGCCTAGAAATCAGAGTTTCATGTTACCTTTTCAAATCACATATGCTACAGAAAGTATAAGATACAAAAATGTTGTATAGTAGAAGTAGCATTATTTTTAGAGTCAGAACAAGGTTGAGTTATCACTTTACAAGTTGATCCACATCATTGTGGTGTTTTGACTCTGGCTGGTAGGTAAGCCAGAGGCAAGTAACCCAGTCGCTCGCTCACTCCCACCCAGTGGGCTGGGGGAGCAAATTGGAAGGGCAAAAGTCGGGGGGGACACCAAACCCAAACCCGAAAGCAACCCTCATGGGTTGAGAAAAGGACAGTCTAATAAATGAAGGGGGAAAAAAATCCCCACACAAACGAGTGATGCAAAAATAGTCACTCACCACCAGGAGACCGATGCCCAGCCATTCCCCGAGCATTGGCTACTTTGGATAAACTTCCCCCCACAGCGTTACTGCTAAGCATGATGTTATACAGTATGGAAAATCATGTTGGTCAGTTGGGGTCAGCTGTCCCAGCTGTGTCCCCTCCCAACCTCTTGCCCACCCCCAGCCTACTTGCTCTGGGGGGCAGAGTGGGAAACAGAGAAGGCCTTGATACTGTGCAAGCACTGTTCAGCAGCAGCTAAAACATTGGCATCTTATCAACACTGTTTTGGTCACCGGTCTAAAATACAGCAATGTACGGGCTGCTATGAAGAAAATTAACTGCATGCCAGCTGAATCCAGTACAATCACCTTGACCATAAAAGGGTTTTAGTAAGACAGTCAAATATATAGAAGGGCAGATCTATTATCACAGTCATTTTTTGCCTTTTTTTACTCTTTTCTGTTGAAACATCTTGACTAAGCTCTAGATGGGCTTTCCAAGACATTCAAGCTGAAATGGGGACTGTAGTTAATGCTTTTTTCTCGCAGGTAAGACTCAATAATGAGATCAGCTTTTTGATCTGTTCTCCAGTCTGCTGGTGGCATGTGTTTTGTCATCCTTTGGGGAGGCAGGATCCTAAGCTGCATGTCTCCTAGAATAGGAAGAGGTTTACTCTTCCCTTGAAAATTTTCCATTGTTGCCCATGTTTGCCCTGGAAAGCTTCAAGATTTCCTTTTTTCTTCCATGCCTGAGTCTTGTGTTTTCTTCTTTGTAAAGACAAGCTTGCCCTGCATAGACAAATGTGTTTATGCCTAAGCTATGCATACATCTTTGAGCTTCCCTGGGGCACGTGAATAGGAGTACTTTAGAGATGCTCCACGGTCCTGCCCTTCCCTACCCTCTTGCTTTATTCTAGAGAGCTAACCAGATACTAATTATTGTCATTACTGCTGGACTGAAACAAAGATCAAACTCCATTCCCCCCTTCTTCTGGTGTAAAACATCATTCGTCCTTCCTGGTGTTACCAAGGACAAAAGTAGGGACTACAGGCAGGGTGAAAACAACTGTAATGTGTTGGACCAAAGGTCTGTCTGATAGCAGTGGTTTGTAGCAGATGCCTATGGAATAGTATAAGAACATGGCAAACAAGTGAATGAGACTTTCCCAAAATATTTTTCTGTCCTCTGGCAATCTCCTTCTGTAGGATTTCTTGAGGAAGGTCTTTGTCTTTAAAGCGCTCGGTGATTTTTTTTTTTTCCCTCTTTTACAGAAATCACTATCTGAATCTTTTTTTGGCACCCACACCATCTTATGGCAAGGAGTTCCACAGTTCAGACTAATTGAGTAAAAATAGCAGGAAAAGATCCCGAACTTTCTAGATTCTTGGGAAGTAAATATATACATAAGAAAAGGGGGGTGTGTGGGTGTGTTTGCTTGTTTCAGTTTTTGTCTTAATATGGAGATATAAACTTCATAGCGAAGGCATTGTCCTTTAAGTTTTTAAGGTTAAGTCTTGAGACAGCCAGGTTTTCCACTGATGTCAGTCAGCATTGCTCCACAGGCTGAAGTGGATCTCTGCCTGTGTGCACCAGCCTCAGCGCTGGCCCCTTGTATTACCTCTCCGGTAGTAAGTTTCCATCATTACCAGCATTAACTGAGAAAAGGAGAGGGGGAAAAAAACTAGCAGCAAATGCATCTTGCAGAATTTGGTGAAAAAAGCTGCTCAAATGAAGAGGAAAGTTCCCACTTTATTTTTTCTTTTCTTTTAGTTACTGCTTCTTGTTTCTGTGCTCGCAGTCCTGCAGCTTCATTCTCTCAGCCTTGCTCTCCCTGGGGACTTGGGGAGGGAGTAACAGCTGGAGCACGCCCTGAAACACAGCCTCTGGCACTGAACAACAGCAAGCCAAACCCAGCTCCAGACAGTTTGACATTTAGTTGTCATGAAGGTAACCTTAGGAGAGCATGGCAACAGTGCTGACAAGTTGGAGTCTTTCTTGACTACACATGATTTATGAGCAGTGAAAAGCCCCAAAACCCCACAGTGAGTGACTGGAGGAAGAAAGATTAGTTTCCAGCATCTTTCACCTGTGGGCATTCTCAGATGTCTGTTAAAGGTTGAATGTCTTAACCCTTCCTTCAGTGGGAATGCAAGTAAGGTTGCTCCTTTTCATGCAAATGAGACTGGCTGGGTTTGACATGCCTTCTGACCATACTGTGAAGACTAGATGTCTGAAGGGCAGAGGGGAGGATCAGCAGATACATAAACAGACAAATGCACCACACCATGCTTCTACAGAGAACCAGGGTAAAGTGGTTCTGCAGTGATTTTCTCAGCCATTGCTAGGATGTTCATGGAAAATATAACGTAAAAGTAACTTTAACTTATTTTAGTGACTCATCATTTCTGTAAAGACCAGAATCTACCCTGGATTCAACTGTCATCTGTGACCGGATGTCTCATTGGTGTGTTAGGGTTTTCTTTCTGGAGGAATTCAGTGTATTTATTTCCAAATCTGATAGCTTTAGACATACTGCATCTGCAGAACCAGCTGTGAGTCGCACAATGTGGGTGTTGCACCCACAGTGCTGGAAGGCTAGCGAAGCTCGTGGTTACGGAGAAAAGAGCTGACTGAAGTGCCTCCCCCAGACAGACTCTGTGGGGATAGCTCAGGAGTGAGTATTAAACCTGCTTGCCCTGGGGTGGAGGAAGGAGGGATTCTTACACAGCTGATAGAGACTGAGATGTTGCCTTTGCTGCAGTGAAGCAAATGATTTTTTTTTTTCAAAGTCATGGACAGAAATAATTGGCAGGTCCTATTCTGCAAGACATTGAATGTCCTTTGCGCCTGTTGAACATGGAGGATGTCATGGATGCTCCGCGCTGGATGATCTTAAAGGTCTTTTCCAACCTAAACGATTCTATGATTCTATGATTCTATGATTCTATGATTCCAGGATCAGACCTGAGAGTCTATGTGCAAAAAGGGTTTTTGAAGAGCCAGAAGAAAATAGTCCGAGATTTGAAACTCTATTGCAAGGGAGTTTTGCAATGGAAAGGCTTGGATTTCCAATAGCTGCTAAAAAGGAGAGAGAAGGTCAAACTTTAATCTTTCTGGTGGAGATTGTTTCTAAATACTTGACTGAGCCCTTTCCAAATCGGAAACACTTAAAAATCTGAGGATTGAGCACTGATCCATCTCTGGGGAGGGCTAAGGGTGAGAGCTTTGCTGGGGAGCATCTATAAAACAGAAATCTCTTGTAACAAGCAGCCCCCTCATTGTGATTGCAGGGCTATTACAAAAGGACCTTGGATTATCCCCTGATTCGGGAATGGAAAAGGACAGGCTGTTTTGCTGTCCCGATGATTCATTCCACGTTCCTCATTGACTTGAGGAAAGAGGCCTCCGCCAAGCTGACGTTCTACCCCCCCCACCAGGACTATACCTGGAGCTTTGATGATATCATGGTCTTTGCCTTCTCCAGTCGCCAAGCAGGTATGTCTGAAGCCTTTGCTGGGGAGGATTCACTAACAGAGACATGCAGACCTCTACTTTTGAGCTCACAGGCCAAAAGTCCTGTGTTGACTTTAGTGGTGAGTTAAGACCCTGTTCCCTTTCCTCTTTCAGATCTGGTCAGGGAGCAGCAAGTGACTAGCAATGCTAGCTAGCTTCAAAGGACACAGGAGCCATTCTTGGAGTGGGGGCAGTGTTTCAGAGACAAAATGTGTGACATCCACCCTTGATTCGATAGTAGCGAACATAGGTGAATGCTGTGAGAGTGGAAGGTATTCTGAAGTCTGTAGGTAAGGTATCTAAAATCACCACTTCCAGGAGATCCATGAGGAAGGGTGTGAGGGCAAGAGACTCTTTTTAAAGGTAGCAGCCCCAACTTGCTTATCCACAGTGCTGATGACACTTTGCTTCATGGCAGCTCAGCAGGGATTGTCTGAGAGGTAGGGGTTTTTGTTTTGTCTTTTTTTTTAAAGCAAAATCAGTGCAACTTTCAGGGAAATGGTGTGGAGTCTGTGGGCTGTGCTGAGAGGAAATCTCTTGCAGGCAAGAGCAGGTTAGAGCTGGTAAGTGAGCGGTAAAATCTCTGCATACTTGACATTGTATCCTTGGTACTTTGGGAGAACCAGTCGAGCACTGAGCTGCCTTGAGATCCTTAGGGTACAGCTGAGGGAAAACGTGTACCACTCTGGCTGATACCAGGATCAGTTTCTACTGGACAGTGGGAGGATTTCAGTTAGACCTGAAATACAGGGGTCCTTTCAGGCCAAGTCACAACCTCAGTGTCCTCTTCCTTTGTCTGGAATGGCTGTTGGTGTTTGCAGAGAGCTCTGGGTGTCTTGGGGAAATCACTGTCTCTTAAGTGCATGGTACTGCTGCTACTGCTGCTTGTACTTGTGGTGAGGGTGTTTAGTCCCATTTATTTTTGGAGAGTGGATCTGGTGGGTATTCTGTCTCCAGCAAAGTCCTGACTCCCAGACCTGTATGTAGCAGCGTCAGAGCTGAAAGGAGCTCCTGGGAAGGCTATGGTTGTAATGGCCATCTGTGTTGTTCTTTGCCCTGCTGTGTTGAAAAGGGGAAAGTTTGGGGCCTTATAAGGGAAAAGGCACTGATGAAACCTCAGCAGCACCAATGGACTGCACTTCTGTTCAGAGCTTCATGACTGGTTTGCTGACTTACTGAGGTGAATCAGTAGGGAAAAGTTGTTTGTGGGTCCTCTGAGTGATGCGCAGTTGGTGTTACCTGTCTTCTGTTTGTAAAAGAGGCAAAGTTAAGGTGAGAAAGAAGGGCTGTTCTTGGGGGACAGACAAGCAGAGAGAAAGTGAAGTGCAGAAGTACAGCTTCTTCTTGTTGGCAGTCGCTTCTGCAGAAGAGACAGCCTGAGAAGACTGCCTTTCCCACCGTTACCAGACCAGCACAGCAGCCACCAGGTGTTTGTAGCTTTCCTTTTAGCGATGTTTCTGGTTTGAAGTTCTTGACAGCACTGAAAAAGATGGTGTCGTCTTGGCAGACTAAGCAGGGCTTTTTAAAACTCTGCTAAGACTAAGCAGGGGCAATACAGCAGAAGAAGTTTTTGAGAAGGGAAAGAAAATAGCCCAAATCCTTCTGAAGGCCGGTTTTGCCATAAAACAAAGCAAGGTCAAGGGACCTGCACAGGAGATCCAATTTTTAGGAATAAAATGGCAAGATGGATGTTGTCAGATCCCAATGGATGTGATCAACAAAATAACAGCTATGTCCCTACCAACTAGCAAAAGGGAAACACAAGCTTTCTTAGGCGTTGTGGGTTTTTGGAGAATGCATATTCCAAATTACATTCTAATCGTAAGCCCTCTCTTCCAAGTGACCTGGAAGAAGAACGATTTCAAATGGGGCCCTGAGCAACAACAAGCCTTTGAACAAATTAAACGGGAGATAGTTCATGCAGTAGCCCTTGGGCCAGTCCGGGCAGGGCAGGATATTAAAAATGTGTTCTACACCACAGCCAGGGAGAATGACCCTACCTGGAGCCTCTGGCAGAAAGCACCAGGGGAGACTCGAGGTCAACCCCTAGGGTTTTTAAAACTCAGCTATGAGAGGATGAGGGGCATCAAATGGGAAAGACAAATGAGAGAGGAGAGGCAGCAAGAGCTGAAATCAGAGCCCTTGGGAGGCAGAGGTGAGATGTAAACTTGCAGGGCACCTTTGGGGGCCCTGACTTTCAGAGTCAGGACATCGGTATATTGGCTCCAGAGGAGAATTGAGGTTTAATTCTGGATAGCAATGCAGGCTCCTTCAAATCTACCTGCCCCACTTGTTTCCTCTGACAGCTCTTCCAGAAATGCAGCATCCAATGAGTGTCGTAACTGCATTGCATTAGCTCCAGCTGCTTAAGAAATATTTCAGGGATTCAAACCCATCATTTTTTCCTTCCCTCCTAGAACAATTTAGCTTTTTCCAGCACTGACCCATGGCATGAAAGGCTTTGCTTCAGCAGTCTGGCCCATTGATCTGCTCAGATTGTTGGCTTGTGTCCTGGGCTGAGTTTTGTCACGCAGGATAAAAGGATGACATCCAAGTTCAGCAATGTGAAAAATATATGGACTTTGAGGTAAACGTCTCTTTGGAGTAATTTCGCTTACTTCCCTGAAGTCATAAATTATGTTGGCTTTTGTCCAGGCCAAGTACTGCACTTAATGCCTCAAATCAAACCATTTTCAACAGTGAATCTACTTCTTGAAGCAACTGTTTTGTGATGCTCCAAAGAGACCGTCCCACTTCTGCTGCGAGGACGTGCCCTGTGGTGGGAGTGCTGACTCGGAACAAAACTTGGTGCAGGTGTTTTATTGACAAAGGTGGACTCTGTAGACCCCCTTGCGCTCGCAAGACAGCATTTAGCCAGCCAGATGTCCTGAGCTTCCTTTCAGCCTGAGGCTCTGAAGACCTAGAGCCAGCCAGCAGGAAGGTCTGGTCGCAGGGATGGGGGGGGAAATTTAGGTTGCCTAAATATGGCTGTGGGTTTAGGGCATGGCTGTGAATCCTGGTCGCTGCCTTACAAGGGCTAATGGTAATACAAGCATCTCTAGCTTTTCTGTCCCTTGTAGCAATTGTTTATTTCATTATAAAAACAGAGCTGGAGAGCGAGTCCCTGTCCCCTTTTTAAAGTAGCTTTACCATTTTAAAGTAGCTTTTATCCCAGAAGGAACAGAAATACCAGCATGAATCTATGCAGATTAACTGTATTTAAGCCAGCGGAAGATAAGAACGGAGATCAGTGAGCCAGATAAGATTAGTTGATTAGATCAGTGCCAAATCCATTAATGTCAGCAGGTAGTATTTTTCATTCTGCCATTTACCTAAATTGCAACTGACAGATGAATGTGTTTTGGCAAGTAGTGTAGCCAGCAATTTACTTGCAGAATTTAAAATGGTAGAAACACTGGGGTCATTAATGCAGACAATTCTGCTCTGCTGAAAATACCAGGGATTAGGAGGATTTATACATGAAAGCATCAACACACCAGGTAGTGTCTGCTTTTTGTTTATTGCCTGGAGGGGGGCGGGGTTGTGCTCATTTCATTTAAAAAAAAAGGGGGGGGGGGGCACAGAAAAGCTTATAGGCTAGCATTTTTCTTTACATCTGCTTGGCCAGTTGTATGGGTTCTAGCAGGCTTCAGGTTGTGGTTAATTAATAAAGGATCTTACCAGAACTCAATGAAAAACAGCAGATATATTTTTCCTTGGTTTCTCTGGATGTAGCTTTTGAGTGTGTTGCCTGATGTGATATCAGGCCCAGTGCTGCTGCAGTTACAGCCGATAATGAGCAAGTGCTTGGTCAGTCCAGAGGGAACAGCATTTTGCTGATCACAAGTTGCTGGGACATTCCCAGTGAAGAAGCTGAGCAGTGGGGTGAGTCTCCCCCTTGCAAAGGCACCTGCTCTGAGGAGAGGCTTTGCATCTTCTCTTTGTTTCGCACCTTCAGATGCAGCTCCTTGAACACGCAGTTGTAAGAGCTTTTGAGTAGAAGGATATTAACGTTATCACTGCTTTTTGAAGGTATCTTTTCTCCTTGCTGGTGTCTCTAGGATTTTCCTCTAATCTTCAGGGCACTGTAAAAAGTAGTCCTGGAGAGGAAGGGGCCATGTTTGGTGGTAGACTAGGCACTTCCAAGACGGTTATCCTGTACATTCCTCAAAGTCCTTTGCCAACACAGGTGAAAATGTCTATTTTCTAGCCAAAGCAAACACAAGCAGGAAGATGCTTGACTGCAAAACTCAGAGTGAATCCCTTGCTAGGCTAGTAACAGACTCTGCAGCTATACTGATGTCTTGGGCCTTGCAGGTTCATCATGTGTGATCCCAGGGTAGCTGAACTGCCTGGGTCTGCATTTGGCCAACTGTGTGCTGTTGAAACTAAGGATCAGACTTGGCTCCTCCACCCTGGAAGAGTCATTCCATATTTATTGCAGTCTGACAGAGAAGCCTTGCAAAGCTGAGACAAAAGCTTCCATCACCCCTAGCCATGCTGGGTTGGTTTGAATTTTTCCTTCTCTAAGGCTGCCTGCTCTGATAGACCTGCACCCCCCTTTCCCCAGCGTGCAAGGCAGGGCCTCCTCTCCCCGCAGAGGAGTGGGGTATCCAGTAGGACTGCTTCCCTTTCGCCTGAACTGCTTCACCCCTCGCAGCTGTGTAACACGGGCAGCCTTCCTGTGTTGCAAGGGGGAGTCTTGCCCACTCATGAGTGGAAATGCCCCCACCCTTCACCCTGAGCTTTGAAACCTGTGTGTTTCCCCTACCTTTGAGCCCCATTTTTCCTCCCCTAGTTTGGAGGCTGTTGCTGAGCCCTGGGTCTGTGCAGGGAGAGAGGCCCCATGTCCCAGGATCCCTGCTGCTTCTCCTTCAGCACGTCTGTAGGTGGAAGCTCATTTGGCTCCTGTGCCAGCCGTTGCATCGCTTGAGGCTGGCTTACGCGGAGGGTGAAAGCCTATTCCTGCTTTTGGCTCTGGGTCTGTGAAGGGATTGTCAGGTGAGGTGCCAGGTCTGAGCAGTGCAGGTGGGGTTTTGGGGATAGGGGTTTCTGTGGTACTCCCCAGTTACCGCAGTAGCCCTGCTGTATCAGACACTGCTTTTGCTAAAGGCAGTTCTGCCCTCTGCTGTAGGATTGTTTTCATAGCATGAAGGCAAAGGCCAAAGATGACCCTTTCTCTGGTCTAAGAGGGGGGTTCCCAGTCTCTCCTAGGAGAAAACTGATTGCAGTTACAAATACCTGCTGTTAGGGAGCAAGCAGGAATTGGTTTCATAGGAGAGGCCACTTGCTGCCAGCCAAATAAAACAGAAAATGGCCCTGTGAAGTTTTTGAATTGTTCGCTTATGAAGCAGAACTTCTTGGGACTGAGGTCCTGGCGTAAGTTTGATTGTGGCTACGTAGCAACAGAGCAGCGAAATCCGCAGGTAAAAGACCTGACTCTACTTCCTGTTTTTCTGTGATCCCCAGGAATACAGATGTTCATCTGCAACCGTGAACACTATGGTTTTCTTCCCATGCCCCTGAAATCGCACCAGATGCTGCAAGAAGAAACTGAGAACTTTGTGCACACACTAATCGAGGCTATGAGTAAGTTGCTATGCCCTGCCATGATGGACCCCCCCCAAGTTAGTGTTTGTAGAGCTCTCCTGCCAGCAGCCCAGCTCTCTTCACCTTGGGAGTTTACATCCTGATCTGAATGCTCTCATGCCTTTTTGATATGCAGTTTTCCATTTTCCACTACTTTTCTACCTAGAGATGTAATCACTTGATGTTCGGGTCAACCCCATTCACAAAACCTCTTAACTTCCCCGTATTAAATGCAAAAATGCATCTTTAATATGGAACGGATTCTGCAGAACCTCATTTTTGTCATGAGGTGTGTCTGGCACGTGGCTGCTGGCTTCTGCTTTGTAACGTGAATGCTTTCTGCTACCCACTCCTGCACTGACCCCATATTGCAGCTCCCTGGGGCTTTTTAGGCCCAATGATGAAAACACCTGTGTTTATATGTTATATCAATACAGCTTGTACACGAGGATGATGCTTGGGATCTCTCCTTTCTTTCAGTCGATCGTCCTCCCATTGAACCTTCTCAGTATGTCTCTGTTCCTCCAAAGAACCCTGACAAGATGGGATTTGATGAAGTAAGGAACCTATTTTGCTGCCATTGTCTTGTCTTCCTATTTGTCACTTAGAGGACTTGGGTTCTCCCTGTAGCTTAGCTTCTAGCCGTTTCCCTTGGAGTATATTATCTTTTCACACCGTTAGCTCTTCCCCAATGACTTAAACTTTTTGCAAGGAGAAAATAGCCATCCTTATTGGGGACAACTTCTGCTGAGCTCAGGGAAGCAGAAGGGAAAGGGCTCAGGGAGTGTTCTTTCCCTCTGGCATTTGCTGTGGAGAGCAAATGAGGCCAGTCAGGTCTGTGGGAACTTAATACCTGCTACAAGACCCCTGATCAGAAGTGCACGTTTGTGTGCAAGGGCAGTGCCCAGCAAATCCTTGCGCTTCTTGTCTTGATGGTATGGATGTTTTAATCCAGCCAGGAGGAGATGGAAGAAGGAAGGCTGAAAAACAGGTTATTTAACTCCCCAGTGCTTGTGCTGTTTCCTCTACATCTGACTCTGCAGAGCAGCTTGGCAGTCCTTCCATTCTGTGACAAAAATTGGTCATTTGGGAAACCTCTCTGGCTTTCCAGTGACAGAAGGGAAAAATTTCTCTCACCTGAGAGATACACTGGAGAGCCTGGAGCAGCTGGGGGAGCCAGGCTCGCAGCTGGGTTCTAGCCCAAGCTGGGTATGTCCAGGAGTGGCGAAAGTCATGTGTGCTGTCTCCTTACTGTGACAGCTTTCCCACTGCCCTCCTTGGTCATCCCATTTTTGCTATCGCCATAAGTTAAAGTGAACTAGAAAGATGGTTGCTGACACCGGTAGTGCCTCAAGACCCCACAGAAATTCCTGTCCCTACTCTGCCTCACGTTGTGGAGAGAGCAAGCATTGAGGGGAGAAGGCTGGAGAGGGATCTGCTGTGCTTTAATTAATCAGTGCCTGTGTTATTCACAGAGCCAGCAACCCCTGTGTATACAGCTGCCAGGGTGGCAGTGGCACCGTGACCGAGGGAGTTGTGGTGATCAGGGGAGCCTTTGTTTTCTTGGTGTATTCTGCTACATCTGTTTATATGACTCGCAAAGTCTGAACCTGATTTGGCTATGTGTGTTTGAGCATCTGTGTTTAGGACACAGCTGGTGTAGGTTTTTTCCATGTTGTCCTCTGTGGCTGTGCTTTATTTATCCAATTTATTATTTTTGCATTTGTACTGACCTGGAATTTGGTCTGCTTCTTACTGGGATGAGGTTTTGCTCCACAGGGTACAAGGCTGCACTTGTCTGCCTGGGACTGAAAAATATCCCTGACCCTCTGCAGTTTACCTGCAAATGAGGGCTTCAGTCCTCTGCCCTCCACCAGAGAGTCTGTCTCCTCAAGGCTTGGAGCGAGCCCTGCCCAGACATCTCTGTTCCCGGTCTTGGCTTTGGCTTTCTGCTCTGACAGGGGTAGCAGCAGATTTTCAGTGCCCAAAGTAATTATAAAAATCCTCTCTTTGCTGTGTCCTCATACTTGGATGGTGGCCCCACTGATAATCCTAAATTCAGGCAGTGGCAGCATTGTGGGGAAGCATGTGGGTCAATGTTCCAGTCCCCAGAGGGACTGGAGCTGGACATGGCCATTTTGCTCTGTGTTTAATATAAATCAAAACATCCTGTATCTTTGGAAATTATTGACTTGGCTGTAACTGGTCTTCTCTTATCTTTATTCATCCTCAAAGAGCAACTTTCCCTGTAACATAAAACATCCATAAAAAGCCTCTAACCTTTCAACTCAAAACCAGCCCCAATTTTTTTTGACAAATTCTAAGCAACCTGGAATAAAAACTCACTTGGTATTTTAATAAGATCCGCTTTTCTAGTGCAGTTGCTGGAGAAGAGTGGATCAGGACTCCCTTTTTTCCTCACTCCCAAGCTGGGAGGCTGATGTCTTTCTCTTCTACCCAGATTTTCATGATCAATCTGAAGCGTCGGAAAGACAGGCGGGATCGGATGCTGCGGACTCTCTATGAGCAGGAGATTGCAGTTAAGATAGTGGAGGCTGTGGATGGAAAGTGAGTTTTGGCTGGGGTTGCTGATGTTTGCAAAGAGTGGGTTGCTGATGTTTGCAAAGAGTGGGTTGCGTATAACTGCTTAACACCATCTCTTCAGATGCCCTGGCCTCCCTTCTGGTGGGGAAGGGTGGGCTGACGGGAGAGGTGAATACCACTTTTATTTACCTAACAGTCTGTTTGGGGCAGTTTTGCTCTGTTTCTTTCTTCTTTTGCTATTAGTCAATCTCTAACCAGTGCGGTGTGGGTCAGACTAAGATGAAAATCAGGTTAAAATCATACTGATTTCTGTGAACTGTAACACTTGCACACAGTTAACAGGAGTCAGCAGTGAAAGCGTTTGAGGGCAATTACCCTTGGCAAGATTGTCCATCCTAGTGCTACAAAGCTGTTGTGCTACAGTGTTAACCCTGACACAGCCCTTTCCAAGCTTACTCTAAGGTGTGTTAAGACCTTTTTATAATGAGAAATCAAGGCAGAAATTTTTGGCCTGGGAGTTGCAAAAAGGCCTCAGGAACCCACATGCCACCTAGTGGTCTTTGAGACTTGGGTATCCATCAAGACCTCTTGGAAAAATCATCTAAGCCAAGCACCTGACAAGTTGATGGTCCCGCAAAATGGGGAGAGTTGGGAGAGTTAAGGATATAATTTGTCAGCTTGATTTAGAAATGTAAATCAAGAAGTTATTTTTTCTCTGTGTGTTTGAGCAAAACAAGTGCAGGAATTTCTCCAGATAATGGCTTTTCTCTGAACATCAGCAGCGTTTCCCATGTCGCGCCTGTATCTGATTTGAATTTACTTTTTTTTTTTTTTAAATGGTGATAGATATTCTCTCTTTCTCAGAGCACTGAACACAAGTCAGCTCAAAGCTCTCAGCATCGATATGCTCCCGGGTTACCGGGACCCATACTCCTCCAGGCCACTAACCAGGGGAGAGATCGGCTGCTTCCTTAGTCACTATTACATCTGGAAGGAGGTAAGGAGTTTGTGGGTGCCTCAGGGTTCCTGCAGGAAGGTGTTGTGGGCGGGCGCAATAGAAAGGCACACAGCCAGTTCTAGGGCAGAGCATCAAGTACAATGCAGGTTTCTGGAAGTGTAGGATAGAACTTTTCCTTGGTTTATAGGGGATCATGCACAGGGGTTTTCTTGAACACAGTGTTCAGCTTTCTCGTCTCTGCTTTCCATTTGCTAACAGCTCTGAGTGATTTTTATCAAAATATTTTCATGACTGTTTTTGCAAACCATCCAATAGCTTGCTTGGAGCAACTTTGCTTTGGAGAAAGGCAAGAAGGTTTTGAAGAGTTAAAATGGTGTTAAAAAAAACTCCTGGTTTTTTTTCCCTTGTTCTGCATCTGGACTGAAGCAACTTCCAGTAACTCTGCTGACTGGCTTTTTTGAGCTGGCACACCATAAGTATTCTTAACAGTAGGGACCTCTGTTACCGGAGAGAAGAGATCTTGTCTGGGTGGTAAAAGCTGTAGCTTCCATCTGTCCCTGGTCACCTGGGGAGTGACACTTGAGAGGATCTGGGCTGTGTTGGTCAGAGATGCTGAGTTACACAGCCCAACATCAACAGGAGGGATTATTTCAAGTAAGGTGTGGTGGAGGCAGGGAGAAAGACTTGGTACTAAAAGAAGACTGGGCAATGGCAGTGATTACACAAATACAGACAGCCCTCTGCCTTCAGAGGTGTTAGTTGCAGCACCTCGCAGGAGGGCAGGGCATTGATCCAAACAGCCTAGAGCCAGCAGGAGTGAATTCCATGCTAAGAAGTCAAGCCTATGCTTTTGGGCTTGAGACTTCTAAATCGCTAACAGTCAGATGATAACATGGGAACCTACATGCAGGATGCTGTTGCATGTGTGTTCTCTAAGTCATCATGGCCAGATTTTGGATATGCTGGACTGTCCTCCTTCCCAGACTTCAGGAACACTTTCTTCCAATAAAGAGGTTTTTCTGAACAGCAACTTTGGCATCAAAGGCTGCTGCATGTTCCTTTGAGGAGGTGGTTGCTGTGGTCATGCTAGGTGGTAGCTCATGGGTTCTAGATGGTGCAACACCAGATGGAGGGTTTTTGTAGGTTGCAGATGCTCAGCTGGAAGGTATTTTCGGGACCGTACTCACTGGCTCTTGCAGTCTCTCCCAGCTGAGCTCTGAATCTGGGAGCGGTTCTCCAGCCTACCTACCTGCATGGTCTAGAAGGCAGTGCCAGGTCAGGATGACCCCAGGAATTTCAAAGTGCAGGGAGTGGCCCATGTGTGCCACTGTGATCACTTCTGAACCCTCTTGTTTCAGGTGGTGAACAGGGAACTGGAGAAGACGCTTGTTATTGAGGATGATGTGCGCTTTGAACACCAGTTTAAAAGGAAGCTCATGAAGCTGATGGATGACATTGAACAAGCCCAACTAGACTGGGAGCTTATGTACGTAACTGGCCCTCAGCCATCTGGGAACTCCTGGGCACACAGGGGAGGTCAGCAGCACCTGCTGTGTCATGATAGAGATGCAAGTTAATGCTGGTGTGCAGGGGAAGGTGGCAGAGACTTCTCAGTGGCTCTTCCCATCAGGACAGATCTGCCTTCTGGGGCAGGCTGATGCTGGAATGCTCATTGGGTACCACTGCTGCCCTTTGTGGGCAGCGTTTGTTGATCTCAACAGTGTCTGGAGATGCTACTGTGACAGGGAAACTGACACAGCTCAATCCTGAGACTTGGACCATGTCATCTTAGCTCCCTTATGAAGTCTTCCACCGCTATACCACCCACTGGGTTAAGACTTGGATGTCTGGGAGTGGGGCACGATAGAAATCTGTGAGCCTGGTCAGGGATTACTTCTTGGATTGACCCTTTGCCCTTCCCTGGTTGACATTGAACAGTCTTGTGGTCCTAATTGCTGTAGATTCGCTTTGGTTCTAATTTCCGTGGTATTTTCACCCTTTAAGCTACATTGGCCGGAAAAGGATGCAGGTGCAGGAGCCTGAGAAAGCAGTTCCCAATGTCATGAACCTGGTGGAAGCTGACTACTCGTACTGGACCCTGGGGTACGCAATCTCTTTCCAAGGGGCTCAGAAACTCATCGGAGCTGAGCCTTTCAGCAAGATGTTGCCTGTAGATGAATTTCTGCCAGTCATGTACAACAAGCACCCTGTGTAAGTAGGATACCTTCGTTGCTCGGGTTGACATGAGCTGGATCTTGCTGAGTGATCTTAAGCCAGATCATGTTGATGTGTCTCACTTCTGTAGCCTGGCTGGCAGAGAACAGGGCTACTCCTTGTGCTTTTTGGTTGTCTGCAGCAGAGCTCCTGACACAACTCAATGGAGGTGACAGACCTGCTGCAGAGGGGTTATTGTCCCTACCTGGTGTAGGGCTTGTGGGCTGGTTCTGAGACACTTGGCTATCGGTGGTAACGGAGGCTTTGGTTGTATAGGTGGTGTGGTTGTAAGGCACGTGGTTCTGGCTGTAGAGAGTCAGACTCCACCCCAGCAACTACCTCTACTCCCTGGGACCTTTTTGCTCGGTGGATCGGCTTGTTTCTCACACTTACAAGCAGTGGCACTGATGAATGTTCACTCTGTTACTGATGATTTTCCTCTTTTCTTTAGAGCAAAGTACATGGAGTACTATGAGTCCAGAGACTTGAAAGCCTTTTCAGCAGAACCCCTGCTTGTTTACCCCACCCACTACACAGGGCAGCCAGGCTACCTCAGCGATACAGAGACCTCTACAATCTGGGACAACGAGACCGTGTCAACGGACTGGGACAGAACACACTCCTGGAAATCCCGGCAGCAGGGCAAGATCCATAGCGACGCCCAGAACAAGGATGCCCTGCCTTCCCAGTCGTCTCTCAATGCGCCGTCCTCCAGGGACGAGTTATGACTGCCTGCTTTCCCTGGGACTCTGTTGACAGCTGAACCTGCCTCACACTTTAGCTTTTCACCCTTGAAAGTTGTAGAGCAGCTCTTCATGTGGTCTCCTTCCCACTGCTTCAAATGGCAAAGCACTGTGGTTGGACCTGACAACTAACCAAGCCGCGTAGGACTGGGTGGGAGATGAAGGAGGAAAAAGAACAAGTGTTCCAAACTGGCAGAAAAAAGGCAGAGATCTAAACAAAAGCCCTCACAAGCTTTTGTAAAAAAACAACCTTGAATGACGTCTTTCTACGGTTCTCGTGTAGAATACTGTATTTATAAAGATTAATATATAGAGGTGTACAAGTGTTAATACCTTTCTGGATAGCTGTAACTGGGCTGCTGTGTAACTGTTACGCCTTGTAGGTTTGTAGGCTTTTATAACCCTGTTCACTGAGAGAAACTGCAGGCAAGCATTTGGGTTATTTGGTTTTGGTTTTCGAAGGGATCCCTCCCAGAATCAAGATGGTTTCCAAAAATGTTCAGTGCACTGGAGCAGCACTCCTCTGTAGTGTCTTCTCCTTCGTCATACTTCCATAGAAAACTGTTGCTGGCTTCCCCTCCACAAATTTCAAAACTTGATACATCCCATCTAAACAGGCCTCCCAATCCAGAACTGATGTCTTGGCATGTCTAAAATCTTGGAAGCTAGCAGAGAAAGTGAAGGTTGCTGGTTTTATTTGTCTCTGCGCTGCCTGAAGGGAACACAGGCAGAGTTAGTCCGTGTCATGTCCTGCTTCACCCCCTGCCTCAATTTATTCCTTCAGGAAAACAAAGCCTCACAACCTATTTGCAGGCCTGTTTAATTAGGCCCTAAAACCAAGTGTAGGACTTCTAGGAACTTTAAATTTTAGAAGTTTGGTTATGAACTGCTTGACACTATCTTTATAAAAACAGAACAACCTACAGAAATATTAGCATTGTCAACTGTACTGTTGTTGACAGCCTTGATAGAATTGCGCGTTACAGGACGGAAAGGCAACTTGTCTTGATATTTTTTCATGTGAGGAGAAAACGTGTCTTTTTTTTGGATGAGTTCTGATGTACTTGCTGTTGGCTAACATGTCAGCAGAGTACAGTGTTTGTTTTGGTTTTGTTTTTTTTTTAATGTTTCTCAGAGGCCAGGTGGACTACACTGCTTAGGTTAGCTGGCACAGACCTCAGCCTGCAGGCTGCTGTTGCAGTGGGAGGATGCCCTCCTGGACTTGCAGTCTAGAGACTCACCTGCTGTTAGATCTGTGCAGTTGAGTATATGTGGCTGGGTTTTTTTAAAATTTTTGTTTGTTTTTAATAATTACTGATCAATGTTGTGCTTTCTGCTAAAGAAGACATGTTATTACCTGTCAGCCGGTCTGATAATACATAGAACCTGGTGCAAGATGAGCAGCTGTGTGTATTCTTCATTGGGTGGGAGTAGCCCTGGCTGGGAAAGGCCAGCTCAGGAGTTTTTCATCTGTGTCACTCTACCATGGAGTCACTGGTCATGTAAATGTGCCTATTCTGTAGCTACCACCTGGAAGCTGTGTTCCTTCTGCTGTCCAGGCTGGAGCAGGTGCCCATGCAACATGGTGAGTATGGAGAGCAGGTCTGTGTGGACCACCACGTGCAGCCTGGGTCGTTCCTCTCTGACAAGCCCTCTCGCTTCCTCCTCAGGTCTGGCTTTACGAGTGGCAAGTCTGACCTGTTTGAAGCACTGCTGAGTGTGGCAATCCCTGAGGTGTTGGTAAGAAGCTTGGTGTGGCCTTCAGAAGTGGGACACCTGTGAACTGGTGAGCATCCAGCATGTTGTCAGGTGTCACTGTAGGCACGCTGACATCCATGTGCATCTGAAGCTGGCAGAACAGCAGGGATGAGCCAGCGCTTGTTAATTGTTTATTATTATTGTTAATTTTGTTAATATTGTTATATTAATATTGTTATATTGTTAATACCTTTAGCCTGGTATTGTTTCTCTGATCTAATAGCTGTCTCTCCATGCAAAGGCTCGTTATGGTTACACTGTGTTCATATACATCACCACTGCCTCTCTCTTCCACCCTCCTGTGCTTTTTGGTCTCTGAAAGACCCATCTCTGCGTCTACAAGACAGGCCTCTCTTTCCCCCAGCCATGGGAGTGATTTACCTGTGTCAGTAAAAGCCCTGGTTTTTGCAACACTTCCTGTTCTGACCTTTCATGATCCTATTGAAGCACTTTCTCCATGGACATCTTAGCTGAACATGACCTTGGTGCTCCTCACGGTACTCCCCGCTTCGTGCTGGGGGCTGGAGAGGGAAGGGACTCACACCTTGGGGGCGAGTGTGCCATCCCAGCTCCCCGAGCTGCTTGCTGCGCTTGGGTCCTGCCAGGCTCGTGAGTGGGGATGTGGTCTATGGCACAGCCTCACAGTTGCCCATTTGCGCTCCTCCCCAGGGAGCTGAGGAGCATCGCTGTATTGGCCATGCAGGAAATATATAATGGATTTTAAAAAAAAAGGGATTTGAGTCCCCCTGCTTTTTTAACCTTAATGTAGCTCATTCAAATGATAAAAAGAAAAAAAAAGGACTCTGCATCACCTGCACACCCTTCATATTGGAGCCACTGGGCTACCCCGGCCTTACAGCAAGCCCCGCAGATGTGGTGAGGGCAGGGGTGCGAGGCTGGGTGCGGCTGGCAGTGACCTCCAGCTAAAGCTGCTGCACAGACGTGTCAGCCTGGTCACCTCACGCAGGACAGAGCTGGCTAAAACAGTGCTCTTGGGAAGTGATGCCATCGGCGGAGCTGCTTTGGATGCTCAGGGATGCCAAGTTTTCTTTAACTTTGATTTCCTTAAGTAGAGCAGTAGCAGTTCATTAAAAACGTCTTGACAACA